TGCTTGCTCAGGTGGTCGCTGCGCATGAAGCGCCGCTCGCACACGCCGCACGCGAACTTCTTCTCGCCCGTGTGCGTCCTGCGGTGGCGCGAGAGCTCGTCGGAGCGGGCGAACTTCTTGTCGCAGCCCTCCCAGGTGCAGCTGAAGGGCTTTTCTCCTGGAGGACACCAAAAAAATGAAGAATCACTTTATTTGCTATGTTACGGTTCTATCAAAGAACTTATTTATACGCCACCTTACCACAACTGCGGAGTTTCCCAAAAGAATTCAGGTGTGCAGTCAACATTAACCTAATCACAACCTGTATTCCAGTTTTGGAGAAGAATTATAGAGCAATTTACTTACTCTCTYATCTCTTCAACCCTTCTTTAATCCAGCCCTTTTTCCCCCAAAGACCCAAAAGGCAGCCGAGTGGAAAAGACTGTTCACAAAGCTACRTTATCTTCCAAAGAAACCAGAGCAATCCTTTGTCCCCATCCCTCCTATGGGACGGCAGCTCCAAGACCATCATTACCGAACACTGTAGGCGAAGGAAGTCTGGGACAGCCTCAGGGAACCCCTGAGGTCGCCCGTTTCTGGTGCCTGCTGAGGAAGGGCCTCCCCAGTCATCCTCACACACGCAGCAGCCTCACAGACCCTCGGGGGATCTGGCTGCCCGGGAATAGAGAGGAGCCACTTTTGGTGACTTTTGGTGTTAACCTTGGAGCATCCCGGGGGAATGTTTAACCCCAGACCTCTTCTGACCAACACGACCAACCGCCTGCAGGTCCTCAACAAACTGCTGTATAGAAACATGGAAACCTTTAAGGTTGGGACGAAGGGACCTTTAGAGATCATCCAGCCCCTCTGCACATGCAGGGTCTATAGAAATACTCATCACTCATGGTTCGAGTTTATCGGAAACACTTTGAGGCAGAACCTGCGTTTCCACCAGAAGGGAGGCACCACAGGGAACGTTTATCTCATACCACATGCTGAGGATTAAGTCTGACCCCCACACAATAATATATTATTATATAATGCTAACCAATAAGCAAAGGAGCACAAAACGGAGCACTGTTCTGTCCACTGATCCTGTCAGCGTGCTTCACCTCCCTACAGGTGCAATGAGGTTACAGGGGGACACAAACCCTCCTGATGATGAACAGGGGACACATTCCAAATCAGGCACCTCGTTCTGCTCTGTCCTCATCCCACAGTGCTGGGAAATGCAGGAATTTGCAGCACTGGCCTTCTCTAACCAGAAGCAAGGACACGCAGCACATCTCTACCTCTGAGCTCTGACTTACAAGAACAAACAGCTTCGTTAGGGGTTTAAGCTATTTGTTCAGAGCAGTTTTAAAGATAAGCTTGCAAATTAATGCCAATCCTGACACAGAAACTGGTATCTGATAAATCCCACCTCTCTGGAGGTAGAGGGAAAGAAGCCAAGGAAAAAGCAAAGTTCAGCCAAACCTTTGGATGAGCTATTCTGTCCCAGGCTTCCACAAYACCCACCCCTCAATGCAGATCAAAACTGAGTTTTAATATGACAGGATCTCTAACCCCGGAACAGCGCAAGTCAAACAYGTTTATACCACATTTTATCGAGCAAATCAGCTCCTGTTATTTACCATTAGAACATCCTTTCTGTAAGAAACTGAACGCATCACCACGTTCCCACAGCAGCTCTACCTTCTAACGCAGAAGCCCCAAGCCTTCCTCACACACATTTAGCCTAGGCAAAATCCTGGAAAGCAGCATGCAGTAAAACAACCCTTTTCCTCACGTAACAACCATTTTAAGCAGATTAAGCTCATTGTGCCCGGGAATCAAGACCAGCTCCGTCCGACTCGCACCCCAGACTCCTCCCGTGCCCCAAACCAAACAGAAACCTCGTGGGACTCTCTCTGATGTGGTCACAACGTCACCCGTATCACACACGACCCACGCACGCGGCTGCGCCTGTGAAATGCAGCTGATGCCAGGGGGTCATCCCAGGTCTCGGCACAAAGTCTGCCTTGTTTCGCATGCCCAGGGGGAACGAACATCCCCCTTCCTTCCCCAAAACACTTCCCCATCGCCTCCCGCCCCAGGGACACGGCGCCTCTGGGCACCCCAACACGGGCAAAAGCAACGAGAGACTTTCGTGTCCTACCCACCAGTGTGAGTGCGCAGGTGGGCCTTGAGGTGGGAGCTTTTGAAGTAGGTTTTCTTGCACCCGGGGAAGCTGCACACGTAATTCCTCCGCCTYGAGAAGTCCATCTGTGGGGCGCAGCCCTGCCCGGAGGCTATGAACACGGGGGCAGGAGCAAGGGGCAGTAACTTGGTGCTCCCGACAGCCATCACCGTTGGCGGGCACTGCGGCGTCTGCGCGACAGCAGTCTGTGGCAGGACCAGCATAACAGCCCCCTGCGGCACAGAGGGTCCCATGAGCACAGGCTGGGCAAGGGGGGCTGCCTGTGGCAAGATGGGCTTGACCGGAGTTGGAGCTGTCGGTTTGACATAGGCGTTAATCATATTGCTCTGTCCACTCAGYGGGATCATCTGGCAGAGAACGGGGGGGCTGGAAACAGGGACGGGTGTCCCCGAGGTAGCTCTTGGCTGCACGTCGCTCTCGCAGCTCTTTGGCAAACGGGCCCGCGGTGAGACGGGCCGGACGGGCAGTTGTCCTTTAGCGGTCACAACAGCATCGAGGTCGTGCACGTGAGGGCCTGGCGCGCCCGTGGCAGCCACGCCATGAGGAGCACACGAGTCCTGGGGCAGCCTGGGATGTCCCGTGTCACCTGCGGTGCTGCAGAACGTGTCACTGCTACAGTGCGTGTCACCTGCGGCGCTGCAGAACGTGTCACCGCTGCAGTGCGTGTCACCTGCGGCGCTGCAGAACGTGTCACTGCTGCAGTGCGTGTCACCTGCAGAGCTGCAGAACGTGTCACTGCTGCAGCCGGTGTCACCTGCAGAGCTGCAGAATGTGTCACCGCTGCAGCCTGTGTCACCTGTGGCGCTGCAGAACGTGTCACCGCTGCAGTGCGGGTCACCTGCAGAGCTGCAGAACGTGTCACTGTTGCAGCCAGTGTCACCTGCAGCGCTGCAGAACGTGTCACCGCTGCAGTCCATGTCACCTGTGGCGCTGCCACCCGTGTCACCGCTGCAGCGCGGAGCCGCGCCGGGCCCCTCGAGCGCTGCGGGGCCGCGGGGCCGGGCAGCAGTGGTGTCCCCCGTGTGCCGTATCACGCTGGTGGCCATGGCCCGGCGGGGCGGCGGGGCGGCGTGTCCGGGTATCCCCGGCTCCGTGTCCCTGCCCGGCGGCGGTGACGCACGGGGGGCAGCCGCGCTCGCCGCCACGGCCCTGGCTTGGAGGGAGAGCGGCCCGGCAGGCGGCACCTCGAGGCAGTCGGGGCTGTGCGGAGGGGTCATGCACTGCAAGAAAGCAAGCTCCGTCTCAGAGCCGGGCGGCGCTGCGGATCCTGCTTCCACGGCCTTCCCGAGGCAATAAAAYCATCCCCCGTGGCTCTGAAAGCCAACACAGTGCAGACACCGTGACAAATGCRCACACTTCCCATCTGATGGCCACTCTGAACAAGTCCCAAACTCCACCAGTGAAAGGAAGACAGCGATGCAGGTGTAAACCTGCATAAAGCATCGTGTGTCTCATTGTACAGCAACAAAAACAAACCCTTTAATTCCTTCTCCCTAGTAATGAGCACAGTTTATTAAGGTGCTATGAGCTCTTTGCTGTTCCCAGCAAATAGATCGGCAATACACAGCAACTTAGCTTTCAAACTGCCATTGAAACCTGTGTCTTTTAATGATTGCCCAGTCAGCTGATGGCTCCTGCCGAGTGAAACACGACTGGAAACACTCTCCCCCATCCATCCATTTCTCCTCGTGCTCTCCTGCAGCTACCCCATCTCCTTCCTTCTTGGGCACTGAAAATTCCGGCCTGTTTCCTATGCTGTTTGGGAGACAATTCCAATACCATGAGGCAGGAGTGTGACAAAAGCCCCTGACCAGCTGTCATCCCACCTCAACTATTTCCTCTACCCTCCCTTTGCCTCATATACCTGTACATAAAATCCTACTGGTTGGAATAAGGATCTTAAGCATCTAAGAGCATAAAGCTCTTTCTTAGTATGGTCTTTCGCTGCAACATAAATTGCAAGAAAAAATGTGATTCAACTGACATTAGTCAGTGACCATAGCCTTTGAAGAAACAACAGGCTGCATGTAGAAACACATAGCCCAAGTTACCGTTATGAAATAATAAAATTAATTAAGTCTTTATGACTTCTCTTACAACGTTGAAAGGAAACCAAACATCAGAGTCYTTTTCTTATAGTCCTATATAGGTAAATCAATGCCAAGCCACTGAGTCTCATTCTGCCACCCTCTTTTTACTTGAAAGGCTCMAAAAAACATTATAGTAACTACCTAATAGTTTCTTAGCCTCCGTGTCCAAGTGAATATCCCAGTGGCTTTCCCACCTAACACGGGATCGAAGCTATTTGATCCCTTTGCTATTCAGGAGAGGGCAGAAAACCCTCAACTCAACAATGGGCATCTTAGCATCATGTGTGCCTTAATATCCTATGTGTCTACACACACCCTGCTGGCTATGGGACGCCTACTCTACACACGGATCTCTTCCAGCTAGGCCACAGCACTGCAGGGAGGCAACATGAGAACGTCACAAATACATTTATCTGCACCCGCGTCCTCCTTACCAGCGTAGATAAATAATCCCTCGGCACTTCAGGGGCGGCCTCGGCGTGCGCCGCGAAGTCGCCCGCGTCCGAGAAGGGCGTCAGCGGCCTCGTCTTCGGCGGGTGGCCCCGGCGCGCTCGGCGGCCCCAGGCGCTCATGCAGACCAGCGCCTCCACGGCCTCCATGGCGAGCGCCTCCGCGGCCTCCACGTCGAGCGCCTC